GTGGGAAAAATTGAATGCAGTTGTTTATTCTGCTTTTGATTTAAATGTATGATTTCCCCCCCTCCTTTGAAGCAGACGTTTTGGTTATAAATTTCAATCATATCAACTTCAATTCTTTTCTGCTTCAATAATAGTATTAATATGAATGCGTCATATTCCATTAATATGAAAAATGCTATTACGTAAGTAAAATTATTATGTTAACGTTGAATTTCCATAAATTTGTTTATTTTTCCGTTACACATCTTTTCCCTTTTAAGACAATTTACATTGGTTCCTCTCAAAGTCGCATAAAGACATTTTACTGAATGTTTTATTTACTATTTATTTCAGAATTTCTTCTCAACACAATATGTTATTATAACACAAGAAAGATTTTTTTTAACAGTCTAAAACGGATACTTAAATTAATGTACTCATTTTTAAGATTGTTATTTTAATACAAAAAAAATACAAAATATAACATTACAATTTTGATTAATTACGTTATACTAATATCATACAAAAAGCCTGTCACATAAATGGGCTTTGGATTTCTTATAACCGGTTATCAATATTTTGTTACATATCACCGAATGCATAATTTTTGCTCAACGGTGAAGTGAAAAATTTTGAAATATTTATTTTTAACCATTTTTAACTAAAGTTTAATATGGATAAATATTTCTCGGTAATTTTTAAATTTATTGAGCATTAATAAAAATTTTTGTAGAAAACATGCGATTAATTTTAAGTTAATCATTCCAGAACTATTCTCGATTCTTAAAATCCAGGATCTCCGGGACAGACGGATTGCTCGCAACAGGCAGGGAATACTCCTTTTCCGTTTTCTATTCTGCATTTAGAGCCTTCTGGAAGTGCAAATGAAGGACACCTGAAATTATTTTTAAAAAAAATAAAATAGCTATTAATAAAAATAATATATTAAAATATTAGTATTAATAATAATTATTAATAATAATGCTCTTTAATATACAGAAGTTGAAGTAATGATTCTTTAAAAAAATTAAAACAAATCAACTGCTACATTTAATTGCAAATATGAAATTTAAACTTTTTAATTTTTCAAGAGAAATTTCGGTCCTTCTAAAAATTAATTTATGATCTATAGCAGAAAAATGATAGGTTGCATGATAGATGTAGATAGATGCATATTACATGGAAATATGCATCTAAGAGCAAATTTATCTCATAAATTTGATAGTAAATATTTTTTGTAAAATTATGAATAAATATGATTAAATTAGCTTTTCTTATTTATTCTTAATTATTTTACAAATTTTAAACTCTAGTCTTCTTTTGAAGATTATAGAATATTTTTAAAAGGATATTTTTCTTTAAAGTTTGGTAATAAAAAAAAAATCTCTAGTCTCAAATAATAAGGCGCTTATTTAACATTAACTTTATGAAAGCTTACTTTTATCGAATTCCTTTCCTCTCCCCGATTTTTTTATTGTGAGTAAAATTAAAGGCAGTGAAGTTAAATCGAATTATATAGTCACTTTGTAATGGCATACGTGCAAAAAAACGCGTCGTAAAATGCTATATTTTGGGAATAAAATAGTAAAAAATGTTGTCCTATATCGGACTCTAAAGGCGTTATTGATAAAAATTAGTTATTGGAATTATTATATTCTATATAATAAAATAAAATTTGAAATTGGTCTAAAGTGCAACACTGTCACCTGGATCAATAATATAACTAATACATATGCTTTATAATATAATGAAACGTTTTTTTACCAGAGTAATCAATAACCTTAAAATTAAGAAACAAATTCAAAAGATTTAAAAACTATGATATTTAACTGAACTTACCCGGAACCAGACAACATTCCATAATTGCACGTTTGTTCCATGCAGGGATCTTCTGTTTGAAATGTTTCTCCATTTTTATGTTCACCGCAGTCAACTGAAATGTAAAACAAAAATTCGAGAA